TTATTTGTATAAGGCGCGCGAGAAAATATATGTATTTAAATATGATTTTTCCGCCATGCAATAATATATCTATGGTTACGAGGGGGTAGTTGATCCTTCGTTAAGGAAGGAAAAGCTCTGGAATCAGTTTGTGACGGAAGTCGCGCACGAAAGTGCAACAATAGATAGGATGCGCGAGCGATAATTGGATGTGCATATTTGAATTAATCAATGCCGCGTATTATCGAGCGCCTGACGCTCATTTAAATTCAATTCGCTGTGAAATGTTGACGACAGGAGGAACGAGGGAGGAGAAGAGAGAGAGAGAGACAAAGTTGCGCGCAATATCGATCGATTCGAGCGGTGTTGAGTTTCAAAACGAGGTTCAACTGACGCGTCGTCCCTCCCTTTCTTCCCCCCTCTGTTCATTGCTTCGCGATGAAGTGTATCGCGTGACGTTCTTCATAAAGCTTTCCATTCTCGGCGCATATTTATCATTCACTGTCGTCAGCGAGTTATCACCGTCTCATTAAAATTTGTTTCGCGCGATCAATCGTCCCGCTATGCAATGTTGACGTGAGGTTGTCCGAGGAAACTTCGTGTCATCGATCGTAGCTCGGAGGCTTTCGAAACGAGGTTCAATCGAGGTCAGAGTTCGAAAGGAAGTTGCACATACATTGATTGTTCAACGTTTCTCTCTCTCTCTCTCTCTCTCCTCGCGAAGAAGTATAATCCGGTTAAATTGAATTTATAATCGCTTATACATCACCTCTGTATGTACGTGTGTGTGCTTACGAGAAATTTATAATTAAGACTTCTATAATACGCTATTGTGCGAGACGCATTTCCCTTGAATAAGCTCGTCGCAACGTTTCAACGTTCGAATAAAGACCCCCGATCTCACATTCGGTGCGTATCGCGTGCCGTAAAATCGATAATTTCGACGCACCGCCGGAAGTTTCAACAAGCGGTCCCGAATTCATGAACGCTTATATTCATGGTCGTCTCGATTCGTTTATTCGGCGCGATTTGCTCAGCGAAATCGCGCGCGAAGCAGATATATTCGCGAGATATTCCAAGAAGAAGAATTTCGTCCGACGATTCCAACTGTTTTCGCCTTCCCTATCCATCGGCATTTCCACACATATTTCCTTCCAGTGGAAACAATTAGCTAGAGTCTGAACACGTTGAAGGTCCCTGAAGAGGAACGGTCGGACTGGTACACGTGTCGCCAGCACACTCGTTTCCGGCGTATTCCGGAAGAGGAGGCAGGGTGTATGCGCGCGCACGTGTGTGTATGTATGTGTGAGTGCGTGTTAAGTTCAGCGGGGTGTACATAAGTAACCCCGAAGAGCCTCTTCTATCCCAGCTTGGGTCTGGGTCAGTCGCTCACGTGTAAGAGCTCGGAGGACGTGTTTGCGCTTCCGGCGCGAAACTCGGCGAATTACCTTCCGTCGACCTTGAGAAGAGGTCCTCTCTCTCTCTCTCTCTCTCTCGTTTCCGCGTTCTTTCTTTTTTCACGCCTCGTGACACCTGTGAGCTCTCTCTCTCTCTCGCACCTTCTCGAGTCTGGAAGTTAATCCCAACTTTCGAGCGAGACGCAAGTTTTAACGAAGCGCGCCCAAGTTCGCGCGCACCGAAGGTCTTTCCTCGGTCTCGCAATTTTACGACCTTGAAAAATTGCTCTGTCTTCGCGAGTGTTGTTGCATGACGTGGATATCTAGCAAACGACCTTTTGAAGAATACACATATATATATCTTTCACGTTTACAGTTAGGAAATAATTTCTTTGCCCGCGGTCGGGCTGGATTTGACGTTTCGCAGCCTTGAAGAAAACTTTGCAGCGCGATGCTTTTTATCGGTGTATTCCATCTGTTATGTATATGCGCGCGCGCATGTTGTATGTATACGTATGCATGCATGACGCGAGTTTAAATTTATTCCTCGTTCAAACTTTGAATATCCGGGATAATGAGAGCTTTGTAGTTAAGCACGTTGAATGCTCCGTTTGTGCGACTCAACTTCTGCAATTTTCTCAGATATGACTTGATTCCACAGCAGTTCAATGCATTTTGATAACGGAGTGTGTACGTGATCCGCGTGATACCGATAACAGGAAAAAACAACATCTCTTAAAAATACAATTCTGTGTTGGTGCCATAATTTGTCGACGCAAAACCGCGCGCGAACTACATTCAATTCTAAACTTGAACAAAAACTCGATTAAACCGAACCTTGACGAATCCAACAGACAGCCGGACAAATTATCTCGGCGAGTGCATGAACTCGAATGTAATCGCGAGTGGGAGTCTCAAGGGCAAATATTTTGCCAGATATTTATCGCGTAAGTGGTTTGTGCTCGACTGGAAACTTCTGGTCCAGAAGAGTCGCGGCATCCCGTGCTGGTCCACACGAGGGATCGTGCCTTACTTGCGTAGCAAGTGCGAGTAACATGAGACAGAGGCAACGACAGCGGCAGCAACGTGGGCGATAAATCATGCTCAGCAGATTCGAGCTGCTTCAAGGCGCTGTCAGCTATCTGCTGTTATCAGGTGCGCAGCATTGAGCCGGTTTCCTCTCTCACTCTCTCTCTCTCTCTCACTCTCGATGCGATCGATCGACCGATCGATGATCGTGCGCTGTGTAGTAGTTGACCGAGTCGTTGGCGCGGAGAGATAAATCGCCGATAAATTTACGGCGCATTGTTAGGCGTGTCTCATCGTCTGGCAAATTTCGAATCTCGCCGACGATTATCTACGTCTATTAATGACAGTCGCCGCGAGTTTAGATACTTTCCCTCTCTCTCTCCGGACCGCAGCGAGAGAGTCGGTCGGCAAATTTATAGATCTCGCGTTTATACACTGGATAAATTTAGCGCGCGAAATTATTTACGAGCCGTTTCGCGCTGCTGAAAATTGCGGAACGATTCTCAACACGCCGCGCATTTCCAGATGATATCGTTAAATTAATATAATTAACTCGATCTTTTATGTGAAGATTTATATACTTTATTTAGGTATTTTGTTTTTTTTTTATTTACTCGGCTCGCAAACAATTAAAGTCCTTATCCAAGATTATTTCATGATTTGACGCAGATTTTTCAAGTCGGTAAAACTCTTGCGCGAAAGTTACGGGGAAATTTAAATTTTCACGTCGGGAAGTTTAAGCGGTGTCAACTTGACTGATTATCGACATGTAGTCGTTAACACAAGATACGACCTCGTGATACTTTAGCGCTAATTATTTTATTTTCTGACATCGAGAGCTGCGGTTGTTGTGCGTTGTGCCACTGATTGATTGCAGTCATCTGTCGGCCGCCAAATTGCAACGCGGCGAATATTGATAATTAGACGGCGGAAGATTGCCGGATAATTTCGTACCTATTGTTGGAACAGCGGCCATGACGGCCGATGAATAATAAGTACTTCGACAAGCGATTATATAATCATTTATTGACATTATAATTACGAAGGGTCTTTATTACGAATATAAATTATTTGGCATGCGCGCGTAACGTATGAAAAGCAACAATGTACAAACATTTTTCCTAAGAAAGAAAGGATACCTAAAGATATATGCAGAGAACAAGACATCTGACGATTACGAATAATATATATTTATAACATATTTTATATAAATATATAAATGAAGAGAAAATTAAATACAACTACAATTATATACAATTTCTAGTATTCGATGAATAATGAGTTTCGACAAGCGATTATTGAATAATTTATTGACATTATAATTGCGAAGGGTCTTCATTACGAATATAAATTATTCAGCATGCGCGCAACGCGAGAAGCAGCAACAGTATATACATACATTTTTTTTCGGATAAAAATATGTACAAAGCGTACGAAACAATTGTGCAAATAACGTATATATTTATTATTTATAACGTATTTTATATAAAAATGTAGAAGAGAAAATTATATATACAATTTCCAGCGTTTGATGCCGATATAAATTCTGGAGCGGGTATGAAAAAGATTTATAAACTTTCATCTGCTCCCGCTGGATTTCATTTCCGATTGTGTCGCGGACGGTGCAATTTCTCGCGTAGCTTCGTAATAACACGTCGTTGAAAACACACGCGCTTCCGCATTAGACGCGACGCGACGCGGTAAAATACGGCGCTCGAGAATGGCCGGCGTCAGCCCTCTATATTTCGAATTTAACCCCCTCGCGCCCTTCGTGCCGTATAAACTCGAGCGCACCCCACGAGAGAGAGTCCTTTTTCCCATGACGTTCCCTGCATGCGTGCGTGCGTGCACATTGCGTGTGCGCTATTGTTTACGCAATGCCGGTCGCGGTTCCGCGTATATGTATGCGTGCGGCTTTCTTCCACCTCTTCCTTTCATCGTTACTTCCTCTCTGCTTTTTGCCCCCTCCTCCTGTCATCGCAGCCAAGCAGGTCATCGAATTTCTAAAGGCAATCTCGCGCACGGTAGACGATCCCGTCATACAGAGAGACGACGTATCGATGAATGCCGGTTGCGTGGTGTACGCAACAAACCCATTTTTTTCCCGTAACATATATATATATATATACCTACCTGAATTCTTTGCCGAGTGTCGTTAATCGTATACTTGTTCTCACACTGTGGAAATTTCAGGTCATGATGATTGAATATCCCATGCACGACGTGCTCGTATTAATTTTATATGCTCACCGTGTATAAAAAGATATATAAATGTGTATTAGATGTATGATTATTTTTTCGAGGGAGAAAATTTATCATTCAACTTGTTAAATCGACGGATGTATTTAATAATGCAAGACAAAACGTCGCGTCGTCTTTATCATTCTTCTTTATATGTAAATGAAAGAGAAATTGTTGCAAGCACTTGGGAGAGAAGATGATTATTATTATTATTTTTTTTTTTTTTGCAAAATTAGTTTACTGAACATTCTCATTTTAGCGTAAGACGGCGTACCGTCCTTGGATCTCGATAATCAGGCAATAATTATTCTCTGCTAATTTTGCTAATTGCTGTTCTTATCTTTTCTGTTACAGAACGCGAGAGACATGCTGCCAGCAGACTATCTGCGTAAGTACACATTGATATTTAAAAAAACAAAGTACAAAAACCTTACGTTGCTTTCGTATATTCCCATTCGATGCTCCCACGCATAATTTTGCCTATTATATTTTATTGGGAAAAGAAGTAAGTGAAAGCAATATGTTTATTTTATGAGAAAAGTGCACGCACAGCTAGAATTATTCATTCGAGTCAACTAATCGTGAATTCTTTTCTCGGCCCATATTGAATAGTAATGCGCTTTTTCAAAATATTTTCCAACCTATGAACCGTTTGTAATATTTAATTGGAAACAACATGTATATAGCAGAATAGCGAAAGAACTAGCGAACACGTCGGCAAATATTGCGGTTATATAGTCAAACCGCAAAGCTTACTTCAGATTTTCACGGGAGCTTTTAATTAAACCGCTCGGCGCGCTGCAATTTTTCGGTGTGTTGATTATTTTGCCAAATATTTTATTTATCTTTCTTTTTTTTTTCACTATACACACGAGTGAACGCATCGTCGCCACAGTCTCTCTCTGTTGTTTGCTCTTAAACAAGCGACTTTTTAATTCGCGCCAAAAAAAAGTACATACCACGAGAATTCGCCCAACTCGCAAGTAAAATTATTATCCAAGCGGAAACGAACGGCCTCGGTGTTTTCTGTATCACCGTTACATACCTGTAACAGAAAGAAAAAAATCGGGCGTATTACACACGCGTGATGACGAAGAAGATCCGGGCAACACGTGAACGCCACTAATAAAGGTGTTTCCAAGTTAAGTTTCTCACGTGTCGTGGGTTCCTCGCCTTCGTGTGCGGTTTGGAAAACTTTCTTTTCTTCTCTCCCGCGATTCTATAGACGAAACACTCTGTACATTTTTATATGACGATCTTACCGTGCCCTTTTAATTTTCCGCCGACGCTTTCTGCAAATTTTCTCGAAAACTCATCCCCGCGAGAAAATTTCCCATTTCCAATATATTTTGCTTATCAATCAAAATTAATATTAGACGCTAGTGGTGAAAATAAACTTGGCAAAATTGATTTCGACGTAACTAGCAATTTTATTCAATATTTTCACGACGTTTCGACCATTTGGTTGTGGTCCTTATCAAGTGAGAATTCCATCAATTAAAATGAGATTAATGCAACATAAAACCGATCTTATTTAAAATTAATAGTTAAAAGAGGAACACGTCCCATGATGCTTCGTCAACGACTGTGAAAAGAATTCACGTCGTTGACGTGATTTTAAATAAGATCGGTTTTATGTTGCATTAATCTCATTTTAATTGATGGAATTCTCACTTGATAAGGACCACAACTAAATGGTCGAAACGTTGCAATTTTGCTTATATACGTCCATCTTGATTCGGTTCGATTTAATAAATAAATTGCAGAAACGTTAATTAAACGCAGTATAATTCAGAAACAGAGATCTACATACATATTTGCGAGCGAAATAATACGTATAATTAAAATAATAACAAAAGATTGTACCATTATTATAATGAATGGATCATTCTTAATCAGTACACCCTTTCTTCACGACATAATGTCGGTCATCAAGCAACGATCTTGATGCGTATCAGATTGTGTAATCGGGGATAAAATGAAACGGATGAGAGCGGAAGTAGCAGCACGACGTGGAAACGAGATATCTCGTAAATTGAATTCGCGTTGTCGGAGAATTTCCCGCGGAAACAGGAATCGATCGGTCAGGGTGTCCGTGTCGTGTAATACGATGATTTCCTGAAATCTGGGGCGGCGGTTTACATCGTTCGCGATTAATCAGGGGCGCGAGAGAGAAAAGAAATTAACGAGCCAGCGAAAAGGGTAGGAAGGAAACATGTTTCCCACCCTCGTCCGTTCACCAACTTAGGGCTTCGACCCTTCTAATAATCTCTCCTCCCTTAATAAGCAGCCACCTCGCCTGCGGAAAAGTGGGTCGCGAGCGAGGACCACTTTTTCCTCGTATTTCACGCTGCTCCCGAACCGGACCGGAGTTTCGGGCTGATCTTTTATTTGTACGTGTTCGTGTGACTCCGGAAAAGGGTGCATAATCAGCGCTTTAAGCGAAAATTTAATCGCCCGCCTGCCGCGCCGCTTAACGCGCTGAATTAAAAGGGCTAATTAATCCTTTACCACCAGATTTCAACTTTGAGAGCGAACACGCGGGAAAATCAGTTGCCAACAAATTAATCTTCGAATGAATTAATCATGTATATTACTCCGAGGATACAATTATTTTATACTCCAAGTATCGTCGATTTTTGCAGAACGCGATTATTTATTAAATCTCTCGGCTTATATATTGCAAATACTTTCCCTTTCGAGAAGAGAAGAATATAGCTTCTATTTGCGTTGGTTCCATTTGCTAAATTTGCAATGTAACGAGAGGTTCGTGCGTTATCGGACGAGCGAACTCGCGTCCTTGTACGATCCGAGATAAGCGACTCGTCACACTTATACAAGCTGATAACGAGTTTTGGTTCTTCACGATCGCTCGATTTATTTCGCAATAAAGTGCGCAAATATTCCTCGTTCTCTTTGTCCTTCGACGCGAGCAACGCGATTTATATCAGATATGCGTGTATAACTTTTAATACAATTTTCAAGCGCGTATCTATGTATATATAACTTTTAATTTTCCATTCAGAATTCGACTCGATCGAGACTTAATCTCGACATTCGTAATTTTGCTCAATCGAGAATCGAAAGGACTCTTTCGATCCTGAAATTATTGAATATTTGGATCGATACGATATCGTTAATTAATTCTCCCCGTTTACGTTTTGTCCGCCGATTACGCGTGAAATTTACGAGCGCGTCCGATCGCTCGATTACTTCGTACCTCGTCGAGCGTCTTCTGGCATTCGGGGTGCACACGCTGTGTTGTATCGCGATAACGCGGCTTATCGGGATACCTATCTGCGGCGTGCACAGACGTAAGTAGCGTCGGAGATTTCTCACTCTAGGAGCTTTTCGCGCTCGTACTTTGCTTGCTTAGTGGCGCGACGATGTTTCCATTCAGAGATCGATTTGATTTCTCTTAAACGTACGACGCTGCGCTGTAACGTGGTCTAAATCGCACCGCGAATAGTATCGTAGTGTATCAGCGTATCGTAATGGATATAGACGTGAGATGGAGTTGACAGATGATTAAACCCAAGTTTAATAACGTGCGAGAATAAGAGATTATTTAACTGCAATATTTGATGAATTTATTTAATGAATAAATATATAATATGATTTGTGAATAAAAAAGGAATTTTTTTTACTTTCGAGAGAGACAATTCGAGAGAAAGTTGAGTGTTGCAGACTTGAAGAATCTTTCTACTCTATTGTCACAAAGTTAAAATAAAGAGAGGATATATAAGCGAGGAAGGAAAACTCGTTATCAGCGAGTCCGAGGTGCGTCATCAAAAAGAAGACAGCTTACGTCGAGCACGATCGGGATTTCTAATTACGTCAGGTTAAAATTTAATTAAATTAGACACTGGAAGTATAATTAGTCTTTTAAATATGTCCATGTACCTGCATATTATTCTGTCAATTATATTTTCTTACCGTCCAGTCCAGTCCGACTTCATTTCAATAATTTATTAATTGACTTTATAATAATACATCTTGCTCGTACCTTCTACATCGATAATGCAACGTGGCGCTACTAACAATAAGAGAATTTCGAGTAACGCTGCAGGGATTCTTCCTCGATCGCACCTCGTGTGAATGATAAAGAAACGTATAATCAGCGAGGCACACTCGACTCTATCTCTCGCGAGAGTAATGAGAACGAGCATCGTCTCTCTTTCTCTCGCCCGCAGTTAAGTCGAAGATGCCACGCGGATAAAAGGAGGCAGAAAACCGGGTTGCAAATATAGTGTCCCAGATGGCAGATGCGCGTCGTGACTTTTTTTTTTTTTTTTTTCCGACGATGAGAAATTCGCTGCAGATTAGAATCGTCGCCGCGGAGAAGTTTTAATGTCGCTCGAGAAAATGCGCCGCAGATTTATTATTCCGATACGTGAAAAGATCCGAGCGTCGTCCCCCTCGAGGATTATTCGATTTAATTGCCTGGCGAGGTATATGTCTCTTATGCACATATTTGTAATAGTACATTAACATCTCCTGGGAGAATAGAATATCAGGCTAATATTTTCGCCCAAAAATTTTAATTATACCTGCTTCATATGAAATATCACTCGGGATTGCATTTCAAAAATCTTATTTTTTTGTTCTCTATGCTTCATTTATAATAATTTAATTCTATTTTTTAACTCACGAAATTATTCGATTGTTAAATTTTGTGAATTAAAAATCAGAATAAAATTAAATGTAAGGAGTGAAAAATGATTTAATTATTTTATTATATCAAGAATAATTGTCAAAAGATAATATACGCATACCTATAGATTATTTACTTTACTTTTTAGCGAGTCTTTTTAAGGCGAGATGTGTAGTGTAAATTTTGGAAAAAAATCGTAAATCGACGAGGAGTAATTTCCGTTTCACGGATCGTTACTTCGCGATCATTTACATCCGCGGAGTCATTCGCGGATTAAAATAAGGAGCACCCTCTAAAGCGAGGAATCTCATTAGAGCGCGGAAAGTGACGAGACTTGAAATGGCCAAACGGCTAAGAGACGCGACGAGATCTCGACGAGTGAAAACGAGAAGGCGGAAAATAGAGAGAGAGAGAACGCGGTCTCGCCGATTATACTCCGACGTTAACTAAGTCGCGGGATTAAACCGGATGAGACATCGTTAACCGGATCTAGCCCACCTATGGCGACGTTTAACGCCGTATATGTCTGCTTCCGTTCGTTTTGCGCAAAGTATAAATGACCTATATACACGTAAAGCACGAGTGAGAGAAAGAGAGAACTCGTTGTTACTCATTTCCCGCCGTTTTCCCGCGCAGCAGATGATGTTCCGGCAGTTTGCCCGAGAACGAGAAAAGAGAGAGAGAGAGAGAGAGAGAGAGAGAATCTCGCAGTTCGAGATTCGTTTCATATCGCT